TTTATTAATATATTTTATATAACCCAATATATCCAAAATATTATCATTTCAAAATGTAATCAATATCAACATCATAAATGAGATATTTTACTTTTTTATACTAAATCTTTGGATCAGTTGTGTATTTTACCCTTACAGACCCATTGCCGTCGAGTCAATTCTGACTCATAGCAGTCCTATAAGGACAGAGGAAAACTGCCTCATAGGGTTTTGTAGCTGTCATCTTTACAGAAGCAGACTGCCACATCTTTCTCCTGTGGAACGGCTCGTGGGTTCAACAGCAGGCCTGAAGGCCAGCAGATGAACTCTTCCCGGTAAAACGTGACAACTTCAGCACTGAGCCTGAGTCATACCTTGGGGAGGCTGCACACCTTAGTTGGACTCCCTGGGTGGGGCAAACGGTTCATGTGCTCGGCTGCTAACCAAAAGGCTGGAGCTTCAAGTCCACTGCGTTGCACGCGCAAGGTACCTCAAAATTCCAAGCAGCTATAAGACTGCTAGGATGAGGATTCCACCCAGTGGCACCAACCGCTCCGTGGGTGTTACGTCCACTTAGTCTGACCCAGCCATACAGACTAAAAACCCAAAGCAAACCTGATGCCATGGAGTCGATTCCAACTCACAGCCACCCTAGAGGACAGAGGAGAACTGCCCCGTCCGTTTCCAAGGCTGTAATCTTTATGGCTGGGAGCCCTGTGGGGCACCGTGGATAAGAGCTCGTGCTGCTAACCAAAAGGTCGGCAGTTCGAATCCACCAGCCACTCCTTGGAAACCTTATGGGGCAGTACTACTCTGACTTATAGGGTTGCTATGAGTTGGAATCAACTCAGTGGCAACAGATTTCATCTCTGTGGAAGCATACTGCCACATCTTCCTTCCTCTGATCGGCTGGTGGGTTCAAACCACCAACCTTTCGGTTAGCAGCCAAACCCTTAACCACTGCACCACCAGGGCTCCTTCCATACCCAACGGACACTCACAAAGTGTTGACAAGAGTGACAGATGACAAACACGGTCCACTCCGGCTCCACAGCTGCCCCGGCAGAGGTGGGAAACTCAGCTAAACGTGGCCTGTGATGCACCATAGGTAAGGGACAGAACCGTTTTATGACGAGCGCCCCCTTCCCACCTCAAAATCTGTCCGTGTGGAATGGAAACTCTTCTACGAGTGCCCCCCGCCCCCGGCACTGGAGGTGAAGGACTCAAAAGGCCTTCCTTAAGCTGCCCCCTGCCCCCAGGGAGGCTACTTAGGTGAGATGGAAAGCTCTCCTATGCGTGCCCCCACCTGGCACTGCAGGCAAGTGTCCCCAAAGTCCTCCTCCAGCGAAGCCCTCTGTGACTCACTACACAGGACGCAATGTAGATTTTGCTGTCTGGACACCCAAGGAGGGAGTGTTGGCATCTAGGCCAAAAATGCATCTCCTTAACCCTGCTGAGAAACATCAGGCCAGGGCTTCAAACCCATTCGTTCTGAACCCCTGCTCAGAATTTGCATTACCCCCCCAGATATACTGCATCAGAATCTACACTTTAACAAGATCCCCAGGTGAGTCTCACGTATAGTAAATTTTGGAAAACCACTGCTCTACTAGCGGTTCTCTGAATTGGACCCTAACCAGCAACATTGACATTGCCTGAGAACTTGTTAGAAACGC